TGACCGGAAAACGGATATGTTTTCCTGGCACTGGAGAGTCCCTTTAATACTGAACAACCACATAGAACACACCATGCACCCACAATGGTCACAGGGTGACCTAAACACAGGAGTCATCCAGGGACCTAACTGAAGTGTCCATCTTATGCTCATAGTGATGGTGATTACTGTCACAGTTCCGTCCCCTCAGACTGAACTCCATGATCTCTGTCTGACCACAGCTCCTCAGACTGAACACCTTGATCTGTGCCTGGAGGGAGAGGTTAGCGCACTGGGACAACTCAGAAATCTAAGGTGCCCGCACTGTTCGACTGCAATATCCGCCGACACTGCCGTCTGTAATATCCCCCCACTGACCACCTGCAATATCCACCTGCACTGTCGCCCACACTGACTGCCTGCACTGCCGCCTAATGAGACCTGCAATATCCACCCACACGGCCGCTTACAATATCCACCCGCAATGTCAGCCCGCACTGCTGTCCTTACTGACCACCTGCAATATCCGCCCACACTGACCGCCCGCACTGACCACCCGCAATGTCCGCCCACACTGCTGCCCACACTGACCACCTGCAATATCCGCCCGCACTGACCACCCGCATTATCCACCCGCAATGTCCGCCCACACTGCTGCCCACACTGACCACCTGCAATATCCGCCCGCACTGACCACCCTCATTATCGCCCGCACTGACCACCCCCAATGTCCCCACACTGCTGCCCACGGCCACACCTGCAATAATATCGCCGCGCTGACCACCGCAATATCCGCCGCAGTGACCACCGCCGCAATATCTGCCGCGCGACCACCCGCAATATCCGCCCGCACTGACCACCAGCAATATCCGCCGCACTGACCACCCGCAATATCGCCCGCACTGACCACCGCGCAATATCCGCCCGCACTGACCACCCGCAATATCCGCCGCGCACCACCCGCAATATCCGCCCGCGCACCACCCGCAATAACTATCCGCCCCCACTACTGTCCACACTGACAACCCGCAGTGTCCGCCCGCAGTGCCTGCCTACACTGTTGCCCATGCTACAGGGTCTAGAGCAAATCACTAAGAAAACGTTATTGGAATTGATTTTAACAAAGTCCATTTCAGGACATTCCAAGAGTTCTTCTAATTAATAGACTAAGCACTCAGTAAGTAAATTAAGAGCTGATCCCATTCCCTTCCTCCTTGTTTTCCTTTTTGTTTAATTTTTGGCTGATTGTTAAATGCGTACTATAGGCAAAGATCAGTGAGACACTAACTCTTTTTTTGTATGTATATATCTTAAAAAAAAATGTAATCCTATTTAAGTCCAAACTTTTCCTTTAATTAGTTTGAAGTGAAGTGAAGTGAGGTGGGGTCGGTGAGGACCTACAGGCGTTTGTAAATCCGTGATCAGCTCCTGGGTCTGCACAGGCCAGCCCACTCACCTGATTTGATTTTAGAACTTCTGGAGGAAATGTCAAAGAAACAGCCAGGAAATAAAACATTAATTGAAAGTATAATTCACAGAAGCCGTAAGGTGGAAAAAACAAGTGTATACAATGCCCAAACGTTGTGTGCTAGTGCTTAAAGAATAAGGGCTATCCAATATTGACATGAATTGTTAATTTTAATCATTATACATTTCCGATGTATCTGTAAGAAATAAAAATGTTGTATTTTTTTAATTTAGAAAGTGATTAATTTTAAGGTCAGATTTGAAATCTTCATTAAATTTCCTTTTATTTAGGGTATAATAGTTTTTTTTTTAATTTCTATTTAGAGATGTTAAATTCCATGTATAGACTGTATAATATAGTCTCCTCATGTCTGTCCTCTCCAGTCCCCAGTGTCTCGCATAGGTTTCACTCTGTCTGTGGCAAAAACATATCTGTTCTTTGTGACGGAACGCGAGCCGAGCGTTGTGCTGGATACAGTGATGGCATTGTTTTCAGCAGCAGTGAACTGCTTGCCAATGAGGTGTTTGAGGTAAGATTGTAAGATCAATAAAGCTTCTATGTTGGTGGATCAGTAACTGTACTAGATTGTGGGATTGGGAGACCGTCTGTAACCGTGTTAGATTGTGGGATTGGGAGGAGAGGGTCAGTAACTGTAATAGATTGTGGGATTGGGAGGCCTTCAGTAACTGTACTAGATTGTGGGATTGGGAGAGGGTCCGTAACCGTGTTAGATTGTGAGATTGGGAGTCCGTCCATAACCGTGTTAGATTGTGGGATTGGAAGAGGGTCCGTAACCATGTTAGATTGTGGGATTGGAAGAGGGTCCGTAACCGTGTTAGATTGTGGGATTGGGAGACCATCAGTAACTGTACTAGATTATGGGATTGGGAGACCGTCCATAACCGTGTTAGATTGTGGGATTGGGAGAGGGTCAGTAACTGTACTAGATTGTGGGATTGGGAGAGGGTCCGTAACCGTGTTAGATTGTGGGATTGGGAGACCGTCAGTAACTGTACTAGATTGTGGGATTGGGAGACCGTCAGTAACTGTATTAGATTGTGGGATTGGGAGACCGTCAGTAACTGTATTAGATTGTGGGATTGGGAGACCATCAGTAACTGTGTTAGATTGTGGGATTGGGAGAGGGTCAGTAACCCTATTAGATTGTGGTATTAGGAGAGGGTCAGTAACCCTATTAGATTGTGGGATTGGGAGAGGGTCAGTAACTGTACTAGATTGGGAGAAGGTCAGTGACTGTATTAGATTGTGGGATTGGGAGAGGGTCAGTAACCCTATTAGATTGTGGTATTAGGAGAGGGTCAGTAACCCTATTAGATTGTGGGATTGGGAGGAGAGGGTCAGTAACCGTACTAGATTGTGGGATTGGAAGAGGGTCAGTGATGGTGGGATTGGAATAGGCTCAGTGATTGTGGGATTGGAAGAGGGTCAGTGATTGTGGGATTGGAAGAGGGTCAGTAACAGTGTTAGATTGTGGGATTGGGAGAGGGTCAGTGATTGTGGGATTGGGAGAGGGTCAGTAACCGTGTTAGATTGTGGGATTGGGAGAAGGTCAGTAACCGTACTAGATTGGGAGAAGGTCAGTGTAACAGATCGCCTGGCACCCCGACTGGGTACCTCCGTTTAAGGATGCTCCTAGCATTTTCTGAGGACTCCAAGCACTCTGGCATACACCACAATCACCGAACCAGAGAAGCATATGAGTACTTCTAAGCATATGAATGTTGTAGACCGTTGAATATGAACCATACGAATAGGTTTACTCTCCTAGCAGTCAAACTGGAACAGCATACAATAAATCCTTCCCCCAATAATGAGACGACACTTCACTTTGAGGGTTAAGCAGGAACTCCCTGTACTGGCACATACAGCCTCTTTTATTCCCAATCCACAAACTTAGTACTGCCCACAGGGTTTTACAGAACAACCAATCAATCTGTACAATACACACAGACACTCCCACACAAACTCCTCCCCTCTGCCTGTAATACAATTACCTTACACAATGGGTAATCTAATTATCACAGACAGAGAAATACAGTTTCCTAAAACACATCACAGGGACCCCAAAACATGCAATACCCCAGTATATCCTTGGAACCGGGGGATCTGGGTGAACCACATATCCAAAATTCACCCAGATCCGTTCAGTACTTTGGAAGATACAGTTTAATGCAGATTCCACAGAACATATACAGGCTAGATGAAAATCAATCACTGTATAATGTGTCCCCTGCTGTATAGTCCAAAACCACTGCACCAAATACTGGCGAGATGGCACCGTGTTGAAAGGTCCAAACAGAGTCTGTGAGTTAAAATGGCCGCCATCCGTTGTTCTCACCATGTGCTTCATCCATTGTTATCACCATGTGCCTCTGATACAGGAAATGGTGGCCACCAAGTAACTCCACAGTATGTCCCCAGATGGTTCTTAAAGGGCCAGCAGCAGCACAACACAAATCCCTTATGCCCAAATCATGTCTTTAAAGGGCAATACATCCCAGGGGCCATAGTCACATGGCAGGAGGCTGGCAATCAGTCTTCTCCAATGCCCAGTGGCGAGGTCGGTTTCGCCACAGTCAGTAACCGTACTAGATTGGGAGAGGGTCAGTAACCGTATTAGATTGTGGGATTGGGAGAGGGTCAGTAACCGTATTAGATTGTGGGATTGGGAGAGGGTCAGTAACCGTACTAGATTGTGGGATTGGGAGAGGGTCAGTAACCGTACTAGATTGTGGGATTGGGAGAGGGTCCGTAACCGTGTTAGCTTGTGAGATTGGGAGTCCGTCCATAACCGTGTTAGATTGTGGGATTGGAAGAGGGTCCGTAACCGTGTTAGATTGTGGGATTGGGAGACCGTCAGTAAGTAATAGAAGTGTAATAGATTGTGGGATTGGAAGACCGTCTGTTACGGTTATGGACGGACTCCCAATCTCACAATCTATTACAGTTACTGTGTTAGATTGGGAGACAGTCCATAACCGTGTTAGATTGTGGGATTGGAAGAGGGTCAGTAACAGTGTTAGATTGTGGGATTGGGAGAGGGTCAGTGATTGTGGGATTGGGAGAGGGTCAGTAACCGTGTTAGATTGTGGGATTGGGAGAAGGTCAGTAACCGTGCTAGATTGGGAGGTCAGTAACTGTATTATATTGTGGGATTGGGAGAGGGTCAGTAACTGTATTAGATTGTGGGATTGGGAGAAGGTCAGTAACCGTATTAGATTGTGGGATTGGGAGAGGGTCAGTAACCGTACTAGATTGTGGGATTGGGAGAAGGTCAGTAATCGTACGGGATTGGGAGAAGGTCAGTAACTGTACTAGATTGTGGGATTGGGAGAGGGTCAGTAACTGTATTAGATTGTGGGATTGGGAGAGGGTCAGTGATTGTGGAATTGGGAGAGGGTCAGTAACCGTATTAGATTGTCTGATTGGGAGAAGGTCAGTAACCGTATTAGATTGCGGGATTGGGAGAAGGTCAGTAACTGTATTAGATTGTGGGATTGAGAGAGGGTCAGTAACCGTGCTAGATTGGGAGGTCAGTAACTGTATTATATTGTGGGATTGGGAGAGGGTCAGTAACTGTATTAGATTGTGGGATTGGGAGAGGGTCAGTAACTGTATTAGATTGTGGGATTGGGAAAGGGTCAGTAACCGTATTAGATTGTGGGATTGGGAGAGGGTCAGTAATCGTGCGGGATTGGGAGAGGGTCAGTAACTGTATTAGATTGTGGGATTGGGAGAGGGTCAGTAACTGTATTAGATTGTGGGATTGGGAGAGGGTCAGTAACTGTACTAGATTGGGAGAAGGTCAGTGACTGTATTAGATTGTGGGATTGGGAGAGGGTCAGTAACTGTATTAG